AGAGGATAGTCTGGTACACATAGGTTAACTGCTTTTTTTAATTCCACACGGACGGAGTTGTGGGCGAAAGCTAGTAATATAATAATATTTAGAAAGATGGATAGCGTTATTACGTATCAAAATTAATTCAATTCTACTCTATTATATTTATTGAGTTTTTTTTATAATATAAGGTGGCAAACGAACTAGCGGCCACCTGAATCCACCGAAATGGAAATTGACCGCTGCCCATAAACATCCGCAATTGCATATGAGTTGCCTTCCCTAAATTGACAAAGGAGGAGACACACATGAAAGGATATTTCCCCTTTCTATGCGTCTGCTCTATCGTCAAATTCACTTTTCCTTCCCATCCTTTCCTCTTAAGAAAAGGGTGGAAGGGGAAAGTGACTAAAATTAGGCCTCCGGCACCACCCTCATCAGACGAAACGCGGAGCAACCACTTCACTGTTTTCTGTGTGGTCGTGGTATTACACCGGGCGAGCCGACCCATTCGTGTGAAGATGTTAAAGCGGGCTCTACCACTGTTGAAAATGCCTACAAACCGTAGACCCACATAGAAAACTAAAGGACAAGTAATAAAGTTTGTCATTCTCTTCGGAGTGGGATTTTTACTATTACTTCCCCTTGATTTAGAAAAGACTAGACTAGACCATGAGCTGACGCCCAGACTTCGGTCTTCCGCTACATTTCCTAACCATCATAATGACATGAAGTGCTATTTTAAGGGACAATGAAATAAAACAAATAATTAACTTGAAATAGAAGAATTTATTGATCAATAGTAAACAGTAAATAGAATTCTCACGCCTCAGATGGCCCCAAATGGACCCAGTTCTGCCAAACTCTAGCGAGTACTTACGCAGGGTTACCTTTTAAAATTCACAAATTATTTCCTATAATAAAAAGAATTTGAAAAATACGACAACCTTATAAATATGAGATAATGCTTAAATTTAATAGGCACAAAGTTATTTTCAAAGTAATTAATATTAAATGAATTAAATTTTAAATTGATAATTACGTAGATTCTAACTTCCATACTATTTCTGTTTTATTTGATAACTGAAGAGTGCTGTTTACTTCAAACATGTGTAGTCAGTTATAGAGGTCCTAGCACGAAATTTTTCTAGAAATTGTTCGTAGTAAGTAATACTTGCAGGTATATTTTCGTGCTAGATCCCCAGTCTGATTGTTCACTTAAAGCTTAAGTCGTGAAAGCTTTCAAGTTATTTACTTAGCTACTTCTAAATTATATATTTTTTTTCACCAATAGAGATTCAATGTTTTTTTTTATTAATACCTTAAATTTTCTCGTACCTTTTTTTAATGTTTTAAAATAACTCATGAATGTAATGTATTTTTTTTGTTTTTTTTTGTGTAGACATTAAAAGAATTATAATGAAGTATTGGGGAAGGAATTGGCTCCTGTGACATAGGGCAACCTACTACAGGAGCAAATACTTTCGTGAAATGTATGCAAAAGAGACAATAAATGAAAAATGAATTATTATTATTTATTGCTTGGTAGACATTTTTTAAATTCTATTTGCATCAGCATAGAAGAGAACAGTATTCTAGAGAAGAGAAGAAGAGAAGTCAATGCTTAGTTCTTTAACACATAGAAACAACGAGCGTTAAATCCTTAGAGCACACACTTTGGACTTAATTATCGCACAACTATTTCACGATTATCGATTGTTTTCAAATTCAACTGTTTAGTTGCACAACTAAAAATTAAGCTCCAATTTTTTTTTTATAACATAAGATGGCAAACGAGCAAGCGGCAACCTGAATCCCCCAAAATGGCGAAGCGACTGCCCATAGACATCTGTAATTGCAGATGCGTCGCCTACCCTTATCCGACGGAGGAGGAGACGCATAAAGAGGATATTGCCTCTACCTATGCATCTCCTCCGTCAAATCCACTTCCCCTTCCCATTCTCTCATAAAATAAGGGTGGTAAACAGAAAGAGACTTAAATTAGGCCTCCGGCACCACACTCATCAGACGAAACACGGAATTGCTTCCATTTGACGCCTGTCTGTGTGGTCGTGGTATTGGGGGCGAGCACTGCAGTGCTAAGATGTTAAAGCGGGCACTACCACTGTTATCCATATAAGGTAATATGCAAAGCGAGTTGTGCGATAGTTCAGTCAAAGGTGTTCTCTAAAGACGCTGGATTTCCATTACTTGGATATACTAAAATATAGCAAGATATTACTATGTTCGATGAAAAATCGAGCGTTGAAGTAACTATTGCTTAAGATAATTTAATCCATCAAAAGTATTTAGTGCTATGTTTTAAAACTAGCTGTTTGTTGCTATTTCTTTGGGATTGATTTAAAAAAAATGTTCCATGTCATTCCCGCGTATAAGAGCTACCTTCCAGTCAAAGTCCCGTCAAAATCGGTACTACCGTTTCTGAAAAAACTTGGAACATGTGACAGACGATTTTTTTAAATCGGTGTTTTGTTTTAATTTTAGACATGACTTTTTTCTATACAGACACTTCGAATTTACTGTATTTATATCAGAAGAATATTTATTTTAGCTACTTCCTAACATTAAAATTGGCACATGCTTTTATTAAAATTTCTATTTTCATTGTAATTGTACACCCGTTATATACGCTATATAACTGACAGTTTCAACTGATCAGTTATTGCATATAAAGGGTTTAAAATCTAGTGTGGGTTTAAATGTTAAAATGATACTTTTGGAAAATTTTCGTGCTAGACCCTCCAGCTTCTGCAACAAACATTGTTTGTTTGTAATTGTACTAGTTAGACTATTAACTGAATTCCTTTATTTTATTTATTTGATAAGTTCTACAGAGGGTCTATTAAGCAGATTTGCGAAACAATAGAAGAGAAATTCGTAACGTTTCGACAAAATTTTATATGAAATTTCTTGCTGACCATCGATGAGTTTACGAAAGTTTCTCACAAATATTCGTGATAACCCTCAGATAATTCGTAAGATCAGTTGAGCGAGATGTAGATAGAAATTGATCCCTACAAGTGTAACAATAAGGTGCAGTTTAGTTCACCGCGTCTTCTGAGTGGAGGATGAACGTCGGCCGCGTCGCTTGGCTTTGCGAGGAGCGACCTCCTCCGTCATCTGGAATGATAGAGTAGAAGACATTGCTGTCTCAATTAATACAATAAAAAAGAAAAGGACAGAAAGATTGTGTAGCATAGAGTACTCTATATGGGTTACCACAGTATGGGTAGCTCTGAGATTAACGGCAGTTTTCTTAAAGACGTTAAAATTTTAACGGAATATAGAGGTTAGGAGTGACCTTATCTGTTGCATATTTAAATAACTTTTTAGTATAAAGACATAATTAACAGGTTAATAATGTGTGGACGTTCGTAAGAATAAACAAGTTGACAGTCTTCAAGTAAGAACTAATCGCGGTTAGTTACATTTTCGGCCACACGCAGCGCTTGTGTGACAATATTTCTGTCTCTGTCCCTTTAAAGAGGATAATGTTGGCAATACAGTTATCATAGA